CGAAAAAGTGACAGACTGGGGCGCAGCTCAAGAAGAGCTTCAGTGGAAAACAAATCCCTCTGGTTCCTTTGTCAGGAGGTGTGGCACAGCCAATTTCCTTTTTAGTAACTCAAATAAAAGTGTACCCTCAGCCTTTTTATTAGTACTATTTATTGCGAATGTTGGAATGTCATGTAGTTTTGAACTAAGAGATGAACCGATCTGACAGGTAAGTCACATAATTAATTGGAAGACCCTTCCGTGACAATTATGTATATCAAGGACATTCAGGTGAGAAAATGCAACTCTGAAAGTGAAGTAGATAGTTTAGTCATTGCTGAAACATACAAGAATATGTGCATTTAGATATTTTACACAAAGGAAATCTTGTTTACAGAAAAGAGACCTTGCTGATTATCTGATACCATCAAGTGCTTGTGGAATACAGTCTCTTATGGAGAGTGTTGTTTCTTCATGATTTCAAGACCTTCTTTCAGCTTGAGCTGCTCTCTTTCATATTCACAACTTGAAGCAGATAATCCATCATCTAATAAAAAAAGAAAAATAGTGTTTATGGACCAGTCCTGAAAAGTCATTCACTAAGTTAATAAGCCTAATATATGTTGGGTCTGTGTATTCACAGAACAAACACAAACACATTCCTAATAATCTCTCCAAAACAGACCTCATTTGTCTTGATTAACATAATAACCAACCGCTGGAGTAAGAGAAAAGTCATTCTCCCAAATAACTCTGTCTGCCATCTCATTTATATAATGTCTCATTAGTGTTAAAAGGCCAAGTCATAGAAACAATTTCAAGCTTATTTTCCAATCTACTTTTACACTTAGGCCAACTTGCAGGAGAGATTTCCCTTCTGATCACTGACTACTTTAGCCATAACTTCTTCATAGAATAAGGAACAGACAAGACTTTAATTTGTCTAGTATTTTCTGCAAACAGAAGAAAATTACTCAGGTGCACCACCCCAAACCTAATTCCCAGAAGTATTATGCTCATCTCTTGGACTTTTTGTCTCTTACAGCACTTTCCCTACTCTGTGTGAGTTTTTTAAAGAATTCTGCTTTTTTAAGAAATGTACAGTATGGTGTTAGCATTAGTAGTGAATAATGCACTCAGTGAATTTGATCTAATAAGACAGACCCTGAATTGAGTTACCTGACATACGTATCTGTATTTGCTTCTGTAGCCTTTATCTTTGGAGATTTCTGTTCTTAAATTTAAAATTCAAATTTTCAATTAAATCAGCTAAATGTGAAAGAGGCTACAAAACAAAATCCTCACAGTGCATTTCTTGCCAGCACAGCCTGCCTTCGCCTTGTGCTCAGTAGGCGGGACCAGGGGGCTGCAGAGGCACGGAGAGCCCTGCACAGCACCCCCGCAAGCACCGCTGGGAACGGCAGCCCCGCGGCGGCGCTACGCCCCTGGGACAGCTGCTTCAGCAGCTGACGGGAGGGCTCAGGATTTACCGTGTTTCGGTCACATTTCAACACCTCAGTTAAACAGCTCATCTCACAGTGAATAGAACCCACTGCACATGTGGTGTTTGGTTCCTCTAGGATTAGCTTCTATTTCAAACTCATACACAGAATGGCTGTAGAAACCATTTAATGCCAAGCACAAACTTCTCATTGGCACTGCACCACCAGCCAGTTGACTCTACCTGGCCATCTTCAACCAAGGCAGTCAGACACATTCATCACTCCTGTACACGGACACCTTTGTTAGCTGTGGCACAGCAGCACCTTAAAGGAAGGTGTTGTCTAACCAAAGAATCAAAATCCAGAGGTCATTTATGTGCTTGTATTACTGTGTGCATGTATGTCTGAATTTCACGGGCATACCAAAATTCCACCCTTACAAATAAACAAGGCCTCCATCATCAAAAATAACAATTAGCATTATAGAAATGTTTAGGAAACTATCACAACCCTCAAAAAACTAAAGCACATTCCTTTCGATCTTCAGGTCTTCTTCATCTGGAAGGCAAATCTCAAAAGAGATATATAGCCTAACTTTCAGGTGCTGGGTTTTTCCTTTCCAAAGCCAAAGGAAAAACAACACATTGTATTTTACCCAGGCTGCGTGTAGTGGGGTGTTTGTGTCCAGCAGCAGGAAAGCAGAGGGTACCTGCTGCTGCCAGGACTGCCCTTTACTTCAAGGTGGCGACAAAGTAACTGTTGGATGCTGGAAATCAAAATTTCTATGGCAAAACAATGTTCTTCAAGTTGTCATATATCTTAGTCATGATTTTTTTTACTAATCATTGGAAAAATCTGGACATCTAAGGCAATAACTTCATTATTCCACTTACATGTTCAATGTCTGACCACAAAAAAGTGGGTATTAATTTAGGGCAAAAGTACATACATACGGATATGATTCAACTTACCATAGGCAACTTTCAGCTTTTGTAAGTATGATTTATTACCAGATACTTCTAGAATTCAAAATATTTTCCTCTTTAAATAGCACAATGGAATTTGTTAATCTAATTTGATTACAAAGATGCATACTGAAGAGCTGAAGATGAGATAAATATTTTCCTTTTTAGATAGTATTAATCACAGTTATTATAAGCATCACTCTCATGAAGCCATAGCCAGAAAAAAAAAAAAATATGGACAGTATCCATATTAGTGGTGTAAGAGACTTAATCGTGGCTTAATTTAACGGGTACAGTTGTACCCATATTCAAGTCAAAAATGAAGTATTCACTGACTTCACTGCACCAGGATCTCAGAAGGGAGACTAGGCTGAAGTTAGCCCAGGAATATTAATTGTGGCATATTACAGTAGGACACGGGAAGGAAAATATCTCCCCATTAATGTCTTTAAGGGTGTGTATTAATCTTTTTATTCAGTTTCAGTGTTACCCGAAAGAATTCTGCATAGAAACTATGAAATGCTAGAAAAGAAAGAAGGGAATGACTGAGCAACTTGAAGGAAATCCAGAGAGTAAAATCTGTTCAACAATGTCCCAGTTTATGCCCAGGAGTAAATTAATTCATTAAAAAAATTCCAATCTCTGAGTGACAATCTGTAATTAAGGGTAGAGTCTTACTTTACTGAATGATCAGTGCACAAAATGCATTTCTGCCACTTTTCTGGACAACCCGCAAGTTAGAGAAAGCTGAAAGGTAACTGTTAAAACAGAATTTGGACCTATGGAGTGTTTTTACAGGTTTTATCTTACTTACATCTTTCCAACTGTTGTTGTCGTCTCTCTCCCAGGTGTTCCTGGTATACCAGGGAAGCCCTCCTTTCAAAAAGTGAGCACTTTTATTTTCATTCCCTTCCAGCAGCCGTAGCACATATTTTGAGATTTCTTCCCACTGCAGAAAGTCTTCCAGCTGCTTGATATTTTCAGGTAGCGCTGAAAACGGTCTCTTGTTTCCTTCACCATAAACATAAGGAAAATCTCCCGTGCTCTTTTTCCCCATTAAATGTCCTGTAACAACCATGACAGTAGTATGGCATTAACCAAAACAGGGACAGAATCGATTGTTCATACACCAGCTGGAAGTTGTTATTGACTGACAGGATGGAGGGAAGGGGTTCAGTGATGTCAAAGTTGAAGCACAGCTGGCCTTGGAGATTTTATCAGAGTCTCACACAGTTATTTTCCTCTCTCTCTCACACCACATTGTCAGAGGCAGCGTTGCTAAGAATGGGGCAGAGATAACCAAGAATTTTGCCTGACACTAGGGAGAGGCAGCTGGTAAGGTCTGCTGGAATAAGAAGTGGGTGGAGAAGCTGTAGATTTCAGATCTTCCCTGCCTTGACATGGGATGTAAGGGTAAGAGGGACTGGAGTAAGCCTATGTTCCAGTGCCCTTCCAGGAGCTAAACTGGATTAACTTTTGATATACTTTCATCAAAATTAAATCACAGTTGGGTTTAGGCTGCAAAGGAGGCTATTGGGAAGGGGATGGGGAGGGGTAGCACGGGAGGAGTCTCCTCCAGGCTGGGACCGGGGCTCCCCGAAGTGTTGGCTGTTCTCTGGGGTGCGGGGGAGCTCGGGGAGCGCGCTGCCCCCTGCCCAGCGCGCAGAGCCCGCCTGGCGCCG